AGTTAAAACAAAATTTGCAGCTCTCCACCGGCAAGTGGTGGCGTCTCCATATGAGTGAAAAAGTCTCGAGAGGGACGTTAAACAACATACAATCAATCAATCTTTGCAGATATTGCACATACTGAAATGAAATTTGGTATACAGATTTATTATAAAAATATCTAGGTCAGGTTCTGTTTTTGGTACGATAGAGCGATTTTTGACAGAGTTATGCCCCTTGGAATTAGGAAAATTCCAATATTTTGTGTGTGTGGGGGGGGGGGGGGATAAGTGTTTCACAAACATGTCTTGTTTGCACAAAACCTAGTGAAGCGATTTATCGGTAATATAAGTTAAAGTAAGATAAAATGTTATTTCTGCTGTCAGTCATCCTAATTACAGACATTGTAATCCAAGGAAATTATATGATTTTGTTATCAATTGTATATTGCAAGTAAGAAATTACAGCAATCTCTTGATTTTCAAATTTCGATTTAGTCATTTAATCTTGTAATTCATTTAAATGCACAAATATACTCTTTTCTTGGGGTTGGTTGTTCAAATAGTTATCGTGGGCTTGGGAGTCAATATGCTATTATATTTTTATATTCATTTTGCTGTACACTTTATAAAAGTCGTTTCTGAAATGTACATAAGAGTTTCAACATTATACTATACCTATATTAAGTTTTGAAACTTTATGGAAATCCTCACAAAAAAACAAAGATACATAACGGACTCCAGTTGTTCTACCAATTCTCTTCATTACTCACGAAAATATTAACTGCAGTGCATAGGAAACTTCAGGAGTACTGTACCACAACATATTTGAAATTGATTGATTGTTTCATGTCCATTTCGAGAAAAATTCTGTAAGAAAAAAAAAATTAAAATACTTATTTTTTCCCTGATAAATTTCATTTCATCATCTTTTTTTATTTTTCTTTTTTACTTTTCATGTAATATAAAAAGTTTAAGTGCCTCGTAAATAGTTCATTAAAACTTTTTTCCTGTAAATGTAGTTTTGAATTTAAATATTGACGTTAAAAAACATAACTATTAGTGAAACATAGATCAATATATATGTCATATTCAACACCACATACAAAAATTCATAAGTTATAACGTCAGTGTCGGAAACCTAACTGTTTTTCCTTTCAAAAATTCTTTACAAAAACAAAGGACAAGGTATGGTAATTGCCGAATCTGGCACCTTATTTGATGTAAAAATTAGAACACAGTTAAAACTGTGATAGTTTGTAGTTAAGACTTAAAATGATGCTTGTTTTAAAACCAGCACTAATTTTGATTCAAAGCTTTGATAGAGGCCACAAGCGGGTGCAGAAGTGGAACATTTTCCCGAATTCCTCAATTCTGGTGAAATTTTGTCAAATTTGAGATACTTTTCACTTCGGGAAACATAGAGCACACGCTTGCCTATCTGAGATTTTTATATACAAGATGCATCTGATGCTAGTGTATAAAATGTATAAATATGGTAGATATGCAAGCTTGTGCTCTATGTTATCTGAAACAAAATGTGCTGTAAAAACGATGAAAATTTGCATAAAAATGAGAAAATTTGGAAATTGACATATTTTCTGACCTTCCTGTGACCTCTGTGTATCCCATAACTTAGAACCAATACTCATTTTGTGGCAGGGGTAACAACAGGTTTTTATCGATAAACTGTTGCATCATTCTAAAAGACATCCCAAACCAGGAGCCAAAAAGGGTCTTAGCCTATCTTGTCCTTTTCTTTTAGACCTTAAGGAGGTTATATCCTGTTATCAAAAGTGTTGAGAATTTTTTATCAAGTATATTTTTTAGAATCTACACACATAGCTTAATTAAAAATCAAAACAAAAAATTGGGGTCAATGCACCTTTTTGGAGCTACGGAGCCTTTAATATGACCTTTTTGCACTGTAATTAAGTTAAGACATAAGTCAATTTTCAAAGTTTTTCCTGCTAACATTTTTTATCCAAATAAATTATGGGAACAGACACAGTTTTTTTTTTTCATCTTGAATGGTCACATTAAAATTTGTGACAACAAAAATAAAATTCAAATTACTTCGCATAGTTGACCTTCTGCACTTAAAAAATGTCATTTTTCTGGCATTGAAAATTTAACAAGCAATAAAATCATTTGAAAGTAATGATATTTTTCTGATTTTAAGCAGAATGGTTAAAATCATCTTATATATTCAGAAAAGAAAATAAAAAGTGGGGGTCTGTGATGTTAATTTTTAGATATTACTAATATAGTGTTAATTTTAAGCTTAAATTGGGCTACTTTTTTCCCAGGACTTTCACAACATATTTTGCTATATTTGTCAAATATGATGCTAGAATTCATGACAGTTAATCTAATATATTTTATGACCAGCATTAAACATTTCACTGCACAAAATAACACTGTGTGCAGGCTGCATGTATAAAAGGGAATCCAAACTTAACAATACTGTAAACACTTCGAAAGAGAAAAATTGATCATTTTCTTTTTTAAAAAATCTTCCGCCACAAAATATACATGTAGTTCCTCACTTAATGTTTTCGGTATGGAATTTAGTCATGGGGTTTTTAATTGAATATAGTTTAATTAGCATTGTAGAATACAAATTTATTGTAAGAGGTAAAACATTATGTAGATTTTTTTAAATAGAGGTCAAGACAAAACTCTGCTGAAAAGCTGAGGAGCGAACCTCTTTAAAGTTATGTTTAGAAAACACAATTTAGAAAGATGTCGAAATATGAGCTGCATTTTTGATGTCAGAAATTTTTGTTGCAAAATTGTAATTAACTATTTCAATGACAGAAAGAAGAACATTGGTAAACTTCTGTTGTTCATATTTGAGATGAAGAACTATTTATAAGCTTTGATTGAAGCAAAATTACATTGTTGTCGTCCTGTACAATACTGATTTCTTATATAATACTATACATTTGATTGTATAGAATCCTTTATTCTGAAACAATTTGATACTTTATTTCCGTCTAATTGATCAAAAAGTTTTAAATTACATACAAATTTATCATAATAACACATTTTAACAGCAAATTAAATTTCTCAAAAATGCAGCCCACATTATGATATGTTACAGAGATATAATTTAATTTGGTTGTAATGCGTTATTTGATTGGTTAAGAAAATTAGTTTATATCCTATAACCTGTGAGCGTAAACTGTCCCAACCCAGGTTATACCGTATAACTTGGGTAGCTTTTAAATTTATTCCTTAAATAACTTGAGAATTAGATATTTAAAAATGTCTAATAATACTATAGCTTGAAAACGAGAGTTCAGATCTGAAGCAATACCCTAGATTTTAACATTAGAACATTTTACAATTTATTCTTTATTCAAAAGTGTTTATCTATAATAAAGATCCAATAGCTATACTTTAAAGGGGCCTGGACACAGATTTGAAGTTAATATTTTCTCAAATTTTCTATATAAGATAATGAGTTATATGTTGCTATAGCATTTCACACCAAAATATAATAAGAAAATTATTTTATCTGGAAATTATTGAAACTACGAATTTCGGGACGTTTTCGATTGACACATCCTTGCACTTTCACAAAATAAACTGTATCCTTAATGCTTAAGAAAAGTAGAAATTTTGTTGTGTATTAATGAAAAATATTAAAACTTTAATCTATTTCTATAGAAAATGTAAGAAAGCAAAACCAACTCACCAGTATTATCAGTCCGTGCTTAGTGATGTGTGCAGAGTTTAACAAATTGAACACCCCCGATGAAACGTAAACTGTTTTTGTAAACAGGGCACGAGCTATGTTATTGTTAATGTTTACGTTTTACCGGGTATGTTCTATATATATATATGGGGGGGGGGGGGCTGGCCCCCCACTTTTTTCCGAAGACTTTTTTTTTACTATTTGAAATATTAATTGAAAGGCCGGTTGCCCCCCCCCCCCCCCCACTTTTTGTTGTAGAATAGTCAAATAAGTCAAATAAGTTGTAGTAGTGTATAAATAAAATTTGGTACTGAAAGAAGCTGGAAACTACCCCACCCCACCCCCCACGAAATAGGATTTTCGAGTTTGGAGAACTTTCAATTTTCCTTTTTTTTTTTTTGGCTGATCAAGTTTTTTCAGGTAAGTTGAATTTTTTTCTCTGCCCCCCGCCCCCCCCCCCCCAACTTTCAAAAACGATGCTACGTCCCTGGAACATATTGTGTTTACATTGCTTGACAAAATTTTTATCTATAGTACGTTTGTTCCATATTTATCAATAAAGATTTGAACATAGCTTCGATTTGCTTTCCCAATGAAAAACTACGTTTCACTTAATGTGTGTATGTAGTCTGTGTGCATATGTTTAGTGCTTATCAATAAATCATAGCGTGCATCGATTGCTATCTTATACTGACATTATTTAAATTTGTTTCCGATTACCGGAGACTGGTTGTGTTTGCTACTTGAAATTTCGTGATATAAACTGACAGTCATGTAGAAATATCCTTCTAAATCCTTCAATTACAATTGATTATAATATTCAATTAAAGGAATAATTAAAATATGGATGTTACACTGAATTACACAGTTATTATTGTAGAGAATTATAAAGATTGTTCATTTGTTTCATATGAAATATATCCCATATCAATAACATCCTTGTACAAAGAGCATCAAGATCAATTACACTGCACTTTAATAGAATAAAACCATTAATCAAAATCACAAAGATAATGAACAGAAATGATTGAAAAGAAGTCAATATTGAATGATTCAATCCTTTTATAGCTTTCATTCATGAAAATGTCATGTGTAGTTTATGAAAACGAATGCCCTTAAGTGTAGATTTCCGCACAGGAAATTTCGTAAGCGCCCGTACCTTTAACGTTATAAGGAACGAGTACTCTTTGTTTACAAATTGACAACATGACGAAGAACACGGGACAGTTCGGAAAGACATAAACACGTTACAGGGTGATAAGAAGTATTTTACCTTACCGTGACTAGCATGCTGATATCAAATTCGCTGTAGGGAATTTGAAATCTAAAACTTCAGTTTTTAAAGGCTTAGAAACCATTGATGTCTACAATGCGAAATAAATTTGAACTAGCACTTCTTGTGGCCTATTTAAGTGTTACGTTGATACTAACAAAATCAGGAACCGAAAGTTTGGAAGTTAATGGAGTCACAATCGGGTTTAACAAGACCTGTTCTTCTAATGTAAGTATATTTGTATGGAGAGAGAGAGAGAGAGAGAGAGAGAGAGAGAGCACATGCGCTTAAATGAATGAGGTGAAATATTTACCTGTGGTTATGGTAAAAATAATATGTGGTTAGAATTTGAAACATGTATAAATGAAATTAGTTTTAAGAGTCAACTTTTCATGTGATAAAAAGTTAATTTAATTATAAAGATACCTGCATGCTCTATTATCAAAAATCATTCAGTGAAATTAATTTCTTAAAAACGAAATTTTAACATTTTTTGTTAAGCTCTATGACCTCGACCAAGTGTAATGGATTTTAATGTTAAGTAGAGCAACTTTTCATCCTTCTGTCAGCTCTTAATTTGTTCTGTTAATTCATGTGTGAAAAATTGAACTTGAAATTTACGTTTGATTTAGATTAAGTATGTAGCATTAAAATATATATATATATATTGTCTCTGATAATGTCTGTGCATCAAGTATGAAATCTTCCTCCACGGAAGAAAAAGAACTAATAATTATTCTCAAATTCTTAAGTTAAGGAAACCGCTGTACTGTACATGTTTTTGAATTTTATGAGTGTTTACAAAAACATGGATTTAACCTTAATTTGACAGTTACATTCCATAAGATGTCATTTTAAAGGCCCTCAGCCCGAGGGTTCGGTAAAATATTATCTCGTGTAATGTATCAGTTTATAAAACGCATTAAGTTTCAACGAAGTCTCAGATAAGCATTTATATAAAGTCACTAAGCACAACTGCTTGTTATCTCTATCTAGTAGATTTCCCAAACCGTCAACAAGGTCTCTGACTATAGGTGACTTTGTAATAGATTTTGAAGAGATGGAAAGACGGTTAAATTTAAATTTTCAAAAATAATCTCTGACAGAGATCGATAGCCCCAGCAGTTTAAACACTATGAATTTATATATACACATGTCCCTATTTTCCACTGTATGAAACGTGACTACCAGTTTTAAAAACCTGTAAATTGATTTTGGTTTTTCTTCTGCTTTGCATTTTACACCCTGTTTAAATTTTCCGTCTCCATTAGAGCTCAGGTGTAACCCTGGATTATTGTTAGATGTATACGGATTTAATCTTTTGAAAAGCTTTATTTTGATTGTGTCCGTATTCATTTGGGAAAAAATTGATTTTTTTTTCTCCTCTTTTTTAACTGGTACTACAAAGAAATGTTATAAGAATTAACTAAAACCCAGAATACTGAAGCGTAAACACAAAACAATAAGGAAGACTCATCAAAAGAAATAATTTACTTATCAAGTAGAAATATAAGCTTTGGAGATGAATCAGAAATGAGGACTTGGGTTCTCTTATGTGACACAGATAATGTATAGCCAGAACTCGCCTGGTTTGCTCATTTCAAAGTTCTTCTAATGACTTCCTCGTGTAAGTATTCCAGCATACTTAAAATTGAAGAGTGCGAGAAAAAATACACCATTTTGCAAAAACGACAAACACAAAGAGATATAAGAAGTGGTGTCCTAGTTTTAAATTAAAAATGGCTTGGAGTGTGTCCATTTTCTGTCATATTCTAAAGAGGAAAATGTGTTTTCATTTTGAAATCAAAAAACTAAAGAAAAAAAACTTTCTCAGTCTGTTATTTCAAAAATGTTTCTTCTGCTCGAATGAAAATTAGAGTAAAACATTTTGGATCCAGGTAGAATAATTCTTAGATTTTTGTTCAGTTGGAGAGCGGGTTTATTTCTAAAGAATTTGTGTCTGTTCAGTAACAATGAAATGAATTGAACAAATACGCAGAAATATAGATTGATAAATAATTGTCATAGAAATAGCCATTGATAATTAATAATTTGTCATAAACCCTCCATTTACATAATCATAACCATCTGAACGAAGACAATATTTCAACCTCATTTGTACCAAATTAATACTCTCCACTTCATTTTCACCGACACAATATGACATAATATTTACATTACCATCATATACAAGCTATTTGCAATTTTAATTTTTCTCACTTGATATGACTACTTGATCTTAACCGCAAACTGAGCACACTTTTCTCGGTACAGATATGTAGCCACGAGTCAGCGCATCTTTTTAAGTGTCTGAGTACTTTCAAAAAGTTACTGAAGTATGCACAAAATACTGTGAAGTTCAGTGGATAACATTTATAAGTACAAGAGAACTGTGGAAAAATAGTTCTTCCTTATTTGAAAAAAATAATTATACCTTTAAGGACTTTCCTACATTTTCATTAGTTAGTAAAATGGTTTTCTTAGTTAAAACAAATGATGCATCACAAGAAAACTTGAGTTTTCTTGGATACACACGCTCAAATTCTGTCAATTCAGGACATATGTGCATAATAGTTAAATTCACAAATTATCAATTCAACGTCTACTTCATGTCAATGAGAATTTACTGAATTAGTTAAAAAAAATCAAAATAAAAACACAATGTCTCTCAGAATTATTTGTTTGTTTCTTTGTTTTTGTTTCGTTGTATTTATTTATTTCGGCGATTTTTAAGAACATCATTTTGTGCTCCATGGATATCTCTATAACCACTCAGCAAAATATTTTATTAATAATTAAATGAAAGAGATCTATTTCAGTAATACTGGTAGTGATTTATTTCATTACCATAGTATATATATATATATAGGCTGAGTATTGTAAAAAAAAAAAAAAATAAATGTTTCAAGCAGAATACATTTAATAAAAAATAAACTGCTTCAACATTTCTTGTCATTGGTAATGATAGGATGAAACAAATATGAAGTTAGTACCATGGCATTTGACATTTATAATAAAACACTCCTACTAAATCTTAAGAATGTATGGATCAATTTTCTTTTTTGCCTAATGAATATATCATAGATGATAGATGCATGTAGAAATAATACACTTTTCATAGGTATACAGGTATCATGCATAACTAATTTTGCATGTATTAATATTTATATAATTTATTCATATTTTTTTATTTATATATTTATTTCTTATACTTTTAATTAATTAGTTGTTAAATTTATATATTTATTTATTTGCAGCCCAATATCACCTGCTTCGTATATTTTATAAGTAAGAGTGGTAAGTATCGCAGAGAGAGAGAGAGAGAGAGAGAGAGAGCATGTTTGTTGAACCCGTTAAATTGAGGGTATTTGAATCTATAAGCAACTGAAATATTTCACGTCAGGTATTACTTTTTTAAAATTTATTCTCCTTCTTATCAATAATTAATTGCCTTCTTCACTGTTTTTTTTTTTAATATTTACGACATACCTAGGTAAGTAGGCGTCTGAAATCGGCACCCGGCCAAGTCCATTTTCTTCCGGGTTCACCTGACCTCGAGGTCAATACACACGAAAAATATTTTAATTCTTGGATTTACAGGCTTGCACAAAAGTTCATATACAATTTTAAAGACGCAATGTTTAATAAGGGTGCAACGATACACTAACCTCACGATACGATACGTATCACGGTATTCAGTTCACGATACGATACGTATCACGATACATGACAAGGTTAAAAAGTCTTTCAAGTTTGTCATCATATTTTTTAAAACTTGACAGGGTTATATAAAATGTTCATATTTTTAATAATTAAAATAAAATTTTGTTAACACTTGAATTGGATTGTTAGGTAGATCTTTGAGTTTTGACAATATTCTAAACCAATGATGAACATTTACAGGGAACTACGGGGACCTTTCCTAATAATCTTCCTTTTAAATTGGAATGAAAAAGGAAGACATTCATTCTTTTATTCCTTTTATTTACGTAGAAAACCAGTTGTCATATTTCTCGTGTTAACACATTTTAGTCAACAAGACAGTGAATTTTCATCGAAATACACACGTGATGAAATATTGTGTATTACCAGAGACATATAAAAACCATATGTCTCTGGTATTACCAAAGAATACGTTTAGATCGATTGGGTTTATCATTTGTCTTAACATCTATAACTTATAATCATAATCATATAATATAAGTCCTTCTCCGTGTTAAAACTGAGGTCTGTAAGATGCTGGAGATGAGTTTAACTTACGTTATAAATGCGTTATCGGCGACCTCACGTTTAGCGCGGAAGCCATTTTGAAATTGTAAAAAAGGAAACAAAACGGACGATTCGGATAATTCTGGACCGATTGAACCGAACCGCGGTATCAGTTTAGCGTATCGTGAATTGAACCGTGGAAAAATGAATGTCGGACACCTCTGCCCAACGACACCTCGGCCCATTGACATCTCGGCCCAATGACACCTCGGCCTCGACTGGTCGGCTCAAAATTTAAACACCTCGGCCCATACATAAGACACCTCGGCCCAAGCAAAGTTTTATTAGGAAGTATTATATATTTTCAATCTGCGACTTCAATAAAATTTTGACTGGAAAAAAGTAAACGATCATGATTATTTTTAGTTATAAAAAGACCTTCCACAAGCTGCATGATTGACGATTATCAAGGAATAAAAAGACAATAATAATTTTAAAAGTGCTAACAAACAAGATGCCGCGGCACATCCTTTGGAGCCTTCAGTGCGTGTCATAATAATATTGGCCACAATGTTGGCGACAATGAGGGAATAATTTCGAGCAAGGTTAATTGAGAACATTTACAAGCATGTATTTGTTACGGTGTAAAATACGACTTTTCGGACTTATTGTATATTAGTGTGTTAATTAACTTTTCGGACTTTGCATAAATTGTTATATAAACTTTTCGTATATTTCGGCAAATGTGACAAATTCTATAAATTCCGCACAGCCCTAATCCTACCTGAGGCATAGTCAAAGATGGACAGTTAATCTCCTAATTGACTTCTATTTATATTTATTGACACTTAATCTTTCATCTACTTTTATTCTATTATATACATGCTGCTAATATGTCACCATTCTAGCTCTCAATAACCGTTTGATACTTGATTTCTTTATACTTTTTGTTAATCCTATTATTTTACTCTTTCTTTGTTCAGTATATATGTTTTGTTGTTAAAAATTATAGTCAGTTGGAATCAGACCTTCGGTGCTGATGGTTCCCAAACTCATGTAAAAGTTTATTCCATGCTGATTCTATATAAAAGTACTAAAACTATAACGCGTGTTGGCTTATTGGAGGTTTTATGAATCTGGGTTCAACAATAAGAGGAAAACTCACGGTTGGCCCAGAATCAGAATTTGACGGACAAATTCATCCCGTAAAATATTTCTGAAGAATTCCACTTACATTAAAAACTAGTTCGAGCCCTGATTTTTTTTATTTTAATTTTTAGTATCTGTAGCAAACTATGATTTTAAATCAATGACTGTGAACATGATGAAACATACGATGAAGTTCAGAGCAATAATGCGATAATTTTAGATACTGAAACTATTTTTTATGCGATTATTTATACTGATATAAGTATAAACAATGAAATCAGATGTTTCAGATCGTCAGAGAAATAATGCAAAATGTTACGATAAATTTCCGGCAATTCTTATAGAAAGTCAAGATCTTAAGAATGTTGATATATATTATAGTTCCACATAAGTGTATATATTAGGGATGTTTCACAAGAGATAGATGTTAGTTAAGGACGTGCTGATCTGATTTGCTTAGGGAAGTTAACAAATTTTCTATTATAGACCCCCCCCCCTGACTTTTTTTAAAAAATCTTTTAATTAACTGTCAGAAAGAATAATTACATCGATAATAATAATTAACAATTTAGACACTCGATTAATTTTTTCTATCATAAAATTTCACTTGGGCCGAGGTGTCTTTTATATGGGCCGACGTGTCAATAATCTTAGGCCGACCTGTCAGGGCCGAGGTGTCAGACGTCTAGGGCCGAAGTGTCGTTGGGCCGAGATGTCTGTCTACCGGAAAAATATACCGCTTTATACCGTCAAACGGTTTATCGTTGCACCCTTAATGTTTAACAATGCTAAGCTTGTTAGAAATCTTTCATAAAGATTGTGTTTATCAATTATTAAAATCTCCCCCCCCCCCATTATGATTTATTTTGACTTTAAAATGAGAATGTGTATTGTTTCTTTTTAACTTCGAATCTAAAATCAATAAAATAGGGGATAGATATTGGTCGAATGTATTTTTTTAATACAAAATTAAAGTATTTCCAAATTTTTAAAAGGTTGTTCTGCAAAAGCCGCCACAGCGTTTCCACACCTGTACAGGGTATCAGAGGATAACCGATTCCCAGAGAAGCCAGCATCAATGGAAACTCAAGTGTTTAGCAGAGAATTCATCGGAAATAGGAAATATTACACAGGACTTAGAGTGACACTAATGTCACCAGTCACAGGTGTGTGGGTATTAAAGTTTGCACCAAGTTTCAAACAACTACATAAGGGAAAAATAATGAATTCCATAGAGGTCGATGATTCATATGTAAAATATTTCATTCCTTTAAAACGGTTTATTGTTTTGTTTTTTTTTTTAGGTCACCTAAGTCACTCAGGTGACCTATTGCTATCCGTTCTCGTCCGTCGGCGTTCGTCATGTGTCAACATTTGAACATTTTTAGCTTCTTCTCTGAAACCGCTTAACCAATTTCAACCAAATTTGGCATATAGCATCTATGGGTAAAGGGAAACAAAAATTGTGAATTTCATGGTCCCTGCCCCCCTGGGGCCTGAGGGATGGGGCTAAAACCACCAAAAATAATGCAATCTTTAAAAATCTTCTTCTTTACTCCTGGACATTCAAACTGTTGGCATCATTGTAATAAGCATTGAGCCCTCTACCAAAATTGTGAAATTCATGGCCCCAGGGTCAGGGGTTCTGGCCCCAGGGTGGGGCTATATAGATCCTATAGTGAAAGTGCATTATTTCTTTGAAAATCTTCTTCTCTGCTCCTGGGTATTAAATAAAGTAACTAAGTATATAGTTATGAAGAGCAAGAGTGCCTCTTCCAAAATTGTGAAATTCATGGCCCCAGGGTCAGGGGTTCTGGTGTAAGGATGGGGCTCTATTGATTATATAGTGAAAATGCATTAATTCTTTGAAAATCTTCTTCTTTGCTCCTGGGTATTAAATAAACTAACTAAGTACATAGTTATAATGAGCAAGAGAGCCTCTTCCAAAATTGTGAAAATCATGGCCCCAGGGTCAGGGGTTCTGGTGTAAGGGTGGGGCTCTATTGATTATAGAGTGAAAATGCATTAATTCTTTGAAAATCTTCTCTGCTCCTGGGTATTAAATAAAGTAACTAAGTACATAGTTATAATGAGCAAGAGTGCTTCTACCAAAATTGTGAAATTCATGGCCAATGGGTAAGGGGTTCTGGTGTTAGGGCGGGGCTCTATAGATTACATGTATATAGTGAAAAAGCATTAATTCTTTGAAAATCTTCTCTGCTCCTGGGTATTAAATAAAGTAACTAAGTACATAGTTATAATGAGCAAGAGTGCTTCTTCCAAAATTGTGAAATTCATGGCCCCAGGGTCAGGGGTTCTGGTGTAAGGATGGGGCTCTATTGATTATATAGTGAAAATGCATTAATTCTTTGAAAATCTTCTTCTCTGCTCTTGGGTTTTATTTAAACAAACTAAGGGCATGGTCATGATGCATAAGGATGCCTTTTCAAAAATTGTGAATTCCTTAGCCCCAGGGTCAGGGGTTCTGGTGTTAGGGTGGGGGCTCTATTGATTAAATATAGTGAAAATGCATTGATTCTTTGAAAATTTTCTTCTCTGCTACTGGAGATTATTTAAACAAACTAAGTGCATGATTATGATAGGCAAGGATGCCTCTTCGAAAATTGTTAAATATATGGCCTCAGTTTTTGGGGTTCTTGAGGGGGGGGGGGGCTCTATTGATTATATAGTGAAAAAGCATTAATTCTATTAATTAATCATTAATTAATCCTGTCTGCTCCTTAGTGTTGAGCTGATAAATAAATTGCTTAGCTATAATGAAAATGGTAGCTTCGAACAGAATTTTTAAATCTTGTGGTCCTAGGGTCAGGGGTTCTGGCATAACAAGGGGGGGGGGGGGTGATAATATAGTAGAAAAGTGTTAATTCTTTGAAGTCCATAGTTATGATGGTGAGGGTAACTCTTCCAAATCTGTAAATTTCTTGACCCTTGGTCTTGGATTCTTGTGTTAGGGTAAGGCTTTGTTGAATCTGTAGTGAAAATGCATTGTACCTGTGAAATTCTTCTCGGCTTCTGGGCATATCGTAAGCAAACTGAGTAAAAGTTTAAATGATATAAGTAAGCGTATTTCTACCAGATTTTTGAACATCTGGACCATTTGTCTAAGCATTCTGGTTCTGGGCGGGCTCTATTAATTTGTATTCTACTGACGGAAGTTATTCCCCTTTTCCATTCACCTTTGATAATTAATCACTGTAAATAATGTATTTGAAAGGTTAATAGAATAAAATAATTATGCAAGAATGTTTATCGTATAATTCAAAAAGTACTTTCTTAGTTTTCATAATCAGGTAGACCTGTAAGTAATGGATAAATAAAACTGAGACAAAAATAACTTATCTTACTAAAAGTTCTTCAAAGACCATAAGAGAGGTCAATGCTAGAGGTCTTAATATGGGTTTAAAAATAGTACAGAAGCACTAATAGTTTGTTAATAGTCTGCATGGTGATGGTGTTAAGTGGGGGACAGATTAGAACTTAATTTATGAGTTGATACTGAATACTAGACTAATTATTTTGTTGATCCTGATCTTCCTACTTCTCTTGCTTTAGGGCAACAAAGCTTCATCTATCAGTGTATTTAACTTCTGAATTGTTGTATTATGCTCAGGTGACCGTTAAGGCCCTTGGGCCTCTTGTTTTCAATACAACGTTGAAAATAAAATTCACTTTTTTTTATTCATCACTAAGTCGTCAAGTAAATTATATAATCATTACTCATAGTAGAGACAGTTTAGCAAAATTAACATTATACTTTTCTGAATTAAAAAAAAAAATATTGATTTTAACTCACCTGAGTCGAAGGCTTAAACGAGCATTTTCTGATCGAAAGTTTCCCTTTGTTGTTGGCGTCCTCGTAGTTGTAAACTTTTTCACATTTTCATCTACTTCACCAGAACCGCTTGGCCAATTTCAACCAAACTTGCTACAAAGTATTTGTGGGTTAAGATGATTCAATTTCTTTTTCAAATGGAGGGTAGAACCTTTTTCAATGGGCGATAATCAAGAATTGGTGAAAATTTAATGACATCTTTTAAAAATCTTCATCCTAAGAACCTTCATTACATAGTGCAGATGAAAGTTTGTTCAAATCATGATCCCAAGGGGTAGGATGGAACAACAATAGGTAATCAAAGTTTTATATAGGTTTATAAGAAAAGACTTTAAAAATCTTCTTCTCAAGAACCAAGAACAACTAGCACTGGGCCAGAACAGTTGAAACTTACTTGAAATTTTCATTTCATCGTGTAATTTTAAGTTTGTTCAAATCATGACCCCTGAGGGTAGGATTGAAAAACAAGGGACAGGCCATTTTTTTTAATAGGAATATATAGGAAAAAAATCCTTAAAAATATTCTTATCAAGGAAGGCAAAGATATGATTAATCGTATTGATATGGAAGCATCTTCAGGTAGTGTAGATTCAAATTTGCTTAATTCAAATCATGGCAAATTCAAATCATCAAATAGGATGGGGCCACTGTGTACAATCAAAATTTTAATACAAAGGGGGAAAAATCTTTTCAAGAGTAGCAAAGGCATAATTAATCATATTGATATGGAAGCATCCTCAGTAAGTGTAGATTCAAAATTTAATGTTCAAATCATGACACCCGGTGCCACAATTTGCTATCAAAATTTTTCATAGGAATATAAAAGAAACACCTTCTCAAGAACGGTAGAAGCATGATTAGTCATACTGATATGGAAGCATCCTCAGGTAGTGTAGATTCAAATTTGTTCAAATCATGAACCCATGGGATTTGGCCACAATGGATGATCAAAGTTTTACATAGGAATTTATAAAAAAAAAAAAAAAAAAAAACAATCTTTAAAATCTTTTCAAAAACAGCAAAGGCATGGTATGATTATATTGATATGGAAGCTTCCTAGGTTTTGTTCAAATCGTTGCCGTCTGAGGTAGTTTTGGGCCAAAATAGCCGATCAAAGTTTTACACAGGAATATATAGTGAATAAATCGGCCGATGAAAAACAGCAGGACCCTAATGACCCAGGTGAGCGATGTGATTCATTTTCCTCTTGATCAATTAATATTTATGTTCTGTTGGAACTTTCAGGAAGCTTTGATGTTTTGAAAGGATTTGAACTTATCTACACATATAATACAGATATGAAATACGGCTGTTTGATATTTGACTTGTCTGCACAGAAATTGACATATAATGATGTGGTTAAGGCAAGTAAAAATCAAGTATTTTTTTATCGATATATTAACATTGATGCATGATTGAGAGTATAATAAAAACCGCTTGTATTTCTGTCTCTAATATATATTATAAATTGAACACTCACAGACAAGAATGTAACCATGCAAAATTTTAATATAACAAGATATTAAAATAACCATTCCTTTTGTGCTTTGAATTGTAAATAAAATGCTTTGGAGAGAAGCAAGTAACCTTTTTTGATAAAATCTTGCATTAAAATTTAGACTGGGTTTTGGACTGAGATTTGGCCAATGTCCCCAGCAGATCCGCCCATTGTTTTTCTGGTCAGTAGAAGCCTTCCCCCTGCACCTTCCCAGTATGACCGATACCTCAACGTAACCGAAAATGTCCAAAACGGGGAGTTTAGCGTCTGTGTTCCCAATGGAGGATGCGGTATTTTAAATTTCATTAATATGCGATTTGGTAATGTATAACAAATTTTCAAACTAAGCTTTTCTCTCAATCTGTCTGTCAGTACGCCTTTGCTTTCAGTTTGTATACAAAGGCATACATTTGTATTTCAAATCCGCAATTTATATTACTTACTTCAGGTAGCGTTGTAACACCATCAAGTCAATGGGTAACAACAATATTTTACAAAACGACTACAAACAGCTCAGGACCTTTCAATAACCTTGAGATGAGTTTTGCTTTGGGACCCCCGGAGTACAATTTTAATGAGTACACTGTCAGCTTACATAAAGTCAATAACTCCAAACCTATTATTGCTCTCAACTTACCCAAGGAAGTAAGTCAGCTTAGTCTTGAAAATTTGTCTTAAAGGCAATAAATTTAAATTTTGTACCGGAAAAAAATGAAATTTGTAATTGAGAATGTGATTTCTTTTTTATTATTATAGAGACCACACCATGTGTTTAAAGGACTTTCACCTGGAAAATATGTAATAAAGGTAAGCAGTACTGAGAAGTCCATGCCTGTTAGTCTCCATATTAATGATAAGTTCGCGCTGACTTTGAATTTTCTTAGTTAAGGTTAGTCATACAGAGTGTTACATATTAATGAAAAATTGAGAAATAATGAACAGTGATCAATTTCATTAATCCTGTAAACAATACAAATCATAGATGGCAAAAATTCTGACCCCCTAGAGACACCTGAAGTGAATTAGGAGGAGTAAGCATCCCCTCTCGACCGGGTCATACCTGACATGAGCCTTCTAGAATAATCAGGCAAACTTAATAATATGTAGTCAAACTTAATATAAAACAGTAGCCTAGCGTCTGATAAGAATCATAACAGTCAGAATACGACCGAACTATAAAAAGGGCATTATAACGATCAGAATACATTCAAAACTTGCAGTAAAAGAAGTATGTCTGAATTTTTTTTTTTTTTTTTTTTTTTTTTTTTTTTTTTTTTTTTTTGAGGTAAGGGGTATTTGGTCTGTGATTGTTTTTCTCATTTTCCCACAAGTTAACCCTGCCCATACATATAATATTTAAAGTAAGAAAAAAAACATGTAATTATACTTGATACATAAAATTAAAATAGGTATTTACCAGATAATGTTTATTGAAACAAGGGTCTATAGTAAAGATCTAAGTCGTACATGTACTTTTTATCTACACTGTAATTTGTCCTGTTAGTGGCATAATGTATTTTACATCATGTTAATAAAGAACTCAAAAGATATTTTCCCAAAGAATTGTTTACGTTTGATATATTAGTTAATTGGTGTTCGAATCTCTTTCGAGGTACATGTTGAGCAATTTACAAAAATCTTATAATTAACAATCAGATAGATGAATTTGCAAGCCATAAAGGAAAATATCAACTTTTACATACTAGACAGGCACAAACACCAGATTTGGTATTTGCAAAACTCTATAGAATTCAAAATATGCCATCGGGTCCAGAACTGATTTTTTTCATATATTTGTAAAACAGGTTATACCATACGATAAACACTTCAACGATAGGAATCTATGTCTGTGCAGAAATGAATTTCAAGCCTGTTTAGCCTGCACCACCACAGTAACAAAGGAAATTACTCTGGGACATAGTAAGTAATTTTATTTTCAATTTCTATAAAAAGTTATGTCCTCACATGTCTGTATATTCCTTTCCTCCGAATTAATTTGATTACAAGTATTGCCAATCATATATCATATAAATATATCAGATTAAAAGGATATTTTCATTTTGTGTCAGAATGATAATTTTTCATAAAAGCATATATATACATCACACTGATTATTCAAATCATTGAAATAAAACGTGATATTCTTCACAAATGACTGATAATATCAAAATCCTGTTGTAATTTGAAATGAACTAAGCATGGACACCTGTTACATACAAACACAAACCTGTCAATAACAATTTTGGATGAAAAGGAAATCAACAATTTAATTCTGCTTTATATTCTTCATGGGAAAGTGAGATGCAGACACATAACTGATAACCTTGAATTTTTGTCATATTTTCACTGAATGAGGTTTACCATATCTAGTTTTCGTTTTAAAAAAAGACCATTAACATATTGTGGCCCTTAACATCTTATTCCACTGAATTTTTGAAATAATCAACATTATTTGAATCTATTAAAATTCCAAGATACTTCTCATTATCGAACAACAGTAATTGAAACATCGATTGATAAGTATCTGTTATTTGGTTTGATTGTGTTCATTGATCGTTACCAAGAACTTTGAAATCAATCATTTCGTCGTTTTTGTTGATGGACATGATATGTAAAGAATTAATAAGAAAAATGATTGTTTAACTATCTTTGATTACGTTCATAAAAGTTGTGCTTGCACTTGAACTTTCTTTCTATCTAAAGCTTTCTTATCAGCTCTCTCTGTAGCTGTACAGGCTCCATCAGTCACAACAGAATCTATTCCCTTAACAGATACTGAATCCACAGCAATAACACCAAGTTCGGATGATAATGCTGTACTTGCAGCTGTCCTCGGATCAGTGTTAGGCCTTATCCTTGTTCTTATCATTGCTTTCTTTACAATCCAATGGAGAAAGAAATATACAGGTATGTAGAGTGTGTCTGTTTGTAAAGATGATGTTAAAAAATATATTTTTTTTCTCTATTTGAATGATGTTATTATTTCGATAGGCATTAAGAAAGTAGTATAATTTGGATAGATAATATATCAGATCAAAAGGATACTTTTTGTGTTAAAATGATATTTTTTTTCATTAAAGCATATATAGACTACATTGATTATTCAAATTATTAGAATAAAACGTGATCTTCTTCACAAGTCACTGATAATATCAAAATCCTGTAGCAATTTGAAATGAACTAAGCATGGACACCTGTTACATACAAACACAAATCTGTCAATAACAATTTTGGATGAAAAGGAAATCAACAATTTAATTCTGATTTAGAGCGTTTCAATTTTATGTATTATACATCACCATAGATCAGACGTCTTTCTACAGTTGTAAACGACAGGTGTCTCTGGTTGTATTTGACAGGTGCTAAAGGAGAATAAAATTTAAACATTGTGCCATTTAAATTTTTGGAATTAATACCTTGATTTTGTGCGATATTTCTATTTGTAATACATGTAGTGAATTCTGTTTTTTTTTATTGTAGGAGGAAATACTGAAACCACTGAAAAAATATATACAAACTTGCAACCACAACATATCAATGGCAACGATAACCCTACTTTCAGAAAGGATAACTACGAAATTCTTAGAGGTACATTCAATGACAAATTATCTTAGTGGCTTTATTCTTCGTGCTGCTGCCGAGTGTCCATCATTCATCCTTCATAAGCTTTTCAAAATATTTTACGGTTTCAGTATCTCTGAATCACTTTCCTATATAATTACACCAAGCTGGCGGGGATGAAAGTATATTTTTTATTTCCAAGATTATTTTTTACGCGGAATAAATTGATAAAAACAATACAGTTTCCAGAAAAAGATCATTTACTAATTTCAATCATTCTAAAAATAGCATTAAGATTTTCCATTAATGTAGCAATATCTATTTTGTGAAAGGGATTGTACAGTTTATTCCAATTACTGTCTTTCAATTATTTTTTTCTTTCATGCACACGATTATTACAATTAAGAATGAATAAACAAGATATACATAAAAAACGGGGACACCATTTGTATTTGTCCATATTTTATAAATTAATAAAGGTAAAAGTCGCAATATTTATTTAACATAGTTACCATTAACTGCTTCATACAAATAACTTTAAGAAAGAAATTTTACAATAATATGCGCAATTTATATTTTGCACGCAACCTTTTTTTAAAAAAAAAAACAGTGCCACAAATATCATTTAGGCTTACAATTGGAATTTTTAGCCAATGTTTATTTTGAACTCCTTTCCTTAATGGAAATCAGACTATATTCTTCTGTAATGTTGTTTAATATGAAAATACAAATACTTTTTTGACAGTCAATGGACGTGTTTTGCCGCTTAAGACGGTGTTTCTGGCGTATGCTGAGGATCATGAATGCCACAAAGAAGTCGTCAAAGCATTTGCATCCTTCATGGAGAAACACTGTCGCTGTAATGTCATCTTCGCACCGTGGCGCATGTCGGAAATCATGCAGGACAAATTCCGGTGGGTGATTAATTCCATGGACCAGGCAGACTACACTGTGGTTGTTAATTCTTTTACAGCCTACCAACAATTTCAACACTGGAAATCCAATGATATTAAACACAGTAAGATTTTTCAAGGGAGTCCATTAGCAGATTTGTTTATACCAATATTAAATCAGACTTGTATTCGCTTAAACAATCCGTCGGAATACAGAAAATTCATAATGGTCCGTTTTGAATACACACAAAAAGAACACACCATTACGGAACTTAATTCTGGGGGAGAATATGTACTGATGAAGCATCTTCAAGAATTCCTATGTCACATCCACCAATTGGGGCAGCATAAGACCAAAATGGAGGATGTCGGATTGGCATTTGTAAATGACTTTAAACAGTTAGTTGAGGGAGCAGCGCTAGATGAGAAGATACAGAAAGCTAAAGCACACGAAGCAAGATTTCCAAGAAGGATGGACTCAGAGAGTTCAAATGATTCTGGGCTGGACAGTGCTGAAAGCCTGCCTGAAAATGACAAGCAGACGATAAGAAAAATGTACGAGGAGAACTACCAAAGTGAAGTTAAGGGCGACAGTATAACAGAAGTCATTGGATACTACGGTGACTCCGAAACAGATGATTATCCAGGTCCTAGACCTTGTCCAAGTCCAGAGGATCATAGTGATCCTACATTCCACCCTCCTAGCGTGATAGATCCCACAGATGATTCTAGTGAGGTGCTTGTGGAAAAAATGATTTCAATTAACTTTCAAAATGGTTGGTTTGAAAGTACTCAGACAGCGAAATATGATAATGAAAATGTAGATCCAGATGAAAATTTTTATAGTGATGAAGAATCATGCAGAAGTATCGGTGGGAAAAGTGTGTGAAAAGATTTTAGTGCTATATATTTGTGTGGACAATTTGTCTCTAAAATAATTTTTTTTTACGATTTCTTACTTTTATAATCTGCAGTATCCTGACATTTATGTAGCTGTTAACTTTTCTATCTGCATATACCTCTATATGTGTGGACTTGTTCACTTGTTTTTGCATGTTTTAGATCTGTCTTACCTATAATCTGATGTTTCTAGTCTTCCATTGTGTTTACATTTAGATATTCTTGCAGTATTATCTACTGAGAGAATACGAAGTATAGCGAAGGTTTTTTTAATGTTTGGTTTAATTGTAAGTCCACTGTTGAAAAATCCAATCTATTGTGCAAATAAAAAAACAAATTAATTAATTATATATGCCTTCTTAAACTGTTCTCATAATGACATTATGATATTTTTCTACAAATACATATTTGAGTTTAGAAGAGCTGCTTGTTTTATTTTTAAAAATATTCTAATGATGTTATGTACATGTACATGAAATAAGTCCTTATTTCTGTTAATCAACAATGTAAAGAAAAAAATACTGATTAAGAAAGTATCACATTTCTTATTGAAGTTTGATAATTCATATTTTTAGCTCACCTGAGCCGAAGGCTCAAGTGAGCTTTTCTGATCTCATTTTGTCTGTAGTCCGTCTGTCCGTCTGTCCGTCCGTCTGTCTGTAAACTTTTCACATTTTCGACTTCTTCTCAAGAACCACTGGGCCAATTTCAACCAAACTTGCCACAAAGTATCCTTGGGTGAAGGGGATTCAAGTTTGTTCAAATGAAGGGCCACGCCCTCTTTCAAGGGGAGATAATAAAGAATTAGTGAAAAATTAATAGCATCTTTTAAAAATCTTCTTCCCAAGAACCACAAAGCCAGGGAAGATGAAACTCATGTGGAAGCATCCTCAGGTAGTGTAGATTCAAGTTTGTTCAAATCATGACCCCCGGGGGTAGGGTGGGGCCAAAATGGAGGATCAAAGTTTTACATAGAAATATATGGGGAAAAACCTTTAAAAATCTTCTTCTCAAGAACAGCAAAGCCATGATGAGTCATATTTATATAAAAGCATCCTCAGGTAGTGTAGATTCAAGTTTGTTCAAATCAGGAGGATCAAAGTTTTACATAGAAATATATGGGAAAAACCTTTAAAAATCTTCTTCTCAAGAACAGCAAAGCCATGATGAGTCATATTTATATGGAAGCATCCTCAGGTAGTGTAGATTCAAGTTTGTTCAAATCATGACCCCCGGGGGTAGGGCGGGGCCACAATGGAGGATCAAAGTTTTACATAGAAATATATAGAAAAAATCTTTAAAAATCTTCTTCTCAATAACAGCAAAGCCCTAATTGATCATATTGATATGGAAGCATCCTAAGGTAGTGTAGATTTAAGTATGTCCAAATCATGACCCCTGGGGGTAGGGTGGGGCCCCAAAGGAGGATAAAAGTTTTACATAGAGATATATGGGAAAAATCTTTAAAAATCTTCTTCTCAAGAACAGCAAAGCCCTGATTGATCATATTTATGTGGAAGTGTACTCAGGTAGTGTAGATTCAAGTTTGTTCAAATGTTGCCCCCCTGGGGTTGGGTGGGGCCACAATGGAGGATCAAAGTCTGAAATAGAAATATGTAGGAAGATTTCTTCTGATGAAGAACTGCAAAGCCATGATTACTCATTTTGATATGGAAGCATCATCAGGTAGTGTAAATTCAATTTTGTTCAAATGATGACCCCCGAGGGTAGGGTGGGGCCCAAAAGGGGGATAGAAAGTTTTACATAAGAACACATAGAAAAAATATTTCTTCTCAAGAACAGAAAAGCTATGTTTAGTCATATTGATATGGAAGCATCTTCAGGTAGTGTAGATTCAAGTTTGTTCAAATGATGACCCCCGAGAGTAGGACGGGGCCACAATGGAGGATCGAATGTTACATAAGAACATAGAGAAAAAATATTTCTTCTCAAGAACAGAAAAGCTATGTTTAGTCATATTGATATGGAAGCATCCTCAGGTAGTGTAGATTCCAGTTTGTTCAAATGATGACCCCTGGGATAGGGAGGAGCCAGGGGGGATCAAATTTTTACAAAGGAATATATCAGAAAAATTTTTTAAAATCTTCTTAAGTACAACAAAGCCATTTGTTATTTTGACATGGAAGCATCATCAGGTAGTTTAAATTTCAAGCCCCCCCCCCCGAATCTTTTCAATACTGAACTGATTTGTGCTTTTGCCTATCCACTGTGCTCAGGTGAGCGATGTGGCCCATGGGCCTCTTGTTTCTCCTTAATATTGATTGAGAATGAATAGAATATTTTTGTTTCTTTATTATTTGATACATATATCAGTATAAAAACTTAATACCTGTTAATCTTTTCACTTTTTGCGGATTTTTCATTATTTCATTTGATTTTTCATTTTTAAAAGTGATTTTGTTTTGTTTGTGTGCTTTATAATTATTGTTATGTATTTGTGTATATAACGCTTATTATATTAAGTAATCTTTTTCTATACATTCATTGAAAACATTGAAGAGTTGTTTGCAACATTACTCTTTCAGTATTATTCAATAAATAATATGTAATTGTTTTATTTCTTATGCAAAAATAACATAAATTAGCATTACTGCTACTAATCAGGACTTTTGTTTTACTTCGCTTTTATTTACAAATGAATGCATTTTTTGTTTCCCTTATGTAAGAAAAGCTAAAAGTACATGCATGTCATATATGAATGTAACACATACATGACATTATAATAGTATGAGTAATGTCAAATTGATAAACTATTTAAAATATTATGATGAACAATATCTTCAAATTACACAATAATATAAATATATAAGTGCTTATATTTTTCAAGTTATGGATCCCAAAAGTAAACAGATGAGCTTTTTGATTTTCAACTGTTGGTTTTGAAGCATACTGCAAGAAAAGATGGAGAGAAAAATACATGAAATACGAAGGGGAACGAACAAAGTGAAGATAACAGAGATCCATCTTAAAAAAACTATAAACAATAAAATTTGAACAGGGCATAAAACATGGACTGAAAATTCTGCAGGTGGGATTAGGTGCTTAGAAGGAGGGAGCATCCCATGTCCACCGGTCACACTCGCCGCGAGCCCTTTGTTATTATCAGGTGACTCAATTCAATTCAATTCAATTTATTCACTCAAAAACCATGTAAATGGTTACATGAGGTACATAAACATATAAAACATATATACATATAATACAGTGGGTCAAGCAAAAGGTGAGATTAATTAAGCTAGCTAGGGAGAACAGACCATACTATTAATCTTAGTAATAAATGTACATAATTTTTTCAAAGAATCAACATCATTTTGGCACATAACTTCACAAAACTTCATAGTGTTTGGCTTAGAACAAAATGTTGGGTTCAAAAAAATTTTCCTCGCTTGGTTTAAAGCACTACATTCTAAAATATAATGATATTCATCTCCTATCTGATTACTATCACATAAGCTACAGAATCTTTCACTTCTTTGAGTACCATTCCATCTACCTGTTTCAATTGGAAGGTGGTGACTACGGAACATTCCGTAGTCAAATGTAGTTAAAACAAAGGCCTAACAATTGTTATGAGATATGTCAGTCAAAATACAACACAGAGTTGGGTTTGCTAGCAATGTCATTACATGTACAATGAGAATATACGAAATGCTGACTTTAAGGTTGTTGAAATCCCTTTGTGAAATCCCTGTGTCATCAATTTTCTCTATCAGTAGCTTGTCTCGTACGGTTTGCTCGTTGATATATGAATTTTGATTGCAAGATCAGTTCCTAATAAATTATATGAAATTTCAGCTTTAGTTTTCAAAGATTCGAAGAGGTTATGCGATGGAGAAATGTCCATCCGCCTCTCTGTTCTATTTGCAAAATGGTACTTCAGATCTATAATTTTAATTTGATTATGAAAACACTTTTCAAATAAGTAGACAATGTTAAGATACAGAATTCAGGTTAAAGATTTCTTTTCAATTTGATAAATGATGTTGCCATGTTTACCAAAAAAAGGAATTTCTGTGCAATTCTGTCAAAACACTGCTCAGTTATACATGATAAAAAAAAAGTAGAGTGATAATTCTATATTTTGACTTTTAATGTAAATGAATGATCAGTTATTTTGCATGGCTATTTAAATTTTTTTTTCGTTTGTTGTTTAATGTCCGTCTCAAGAATTTATCACTCATTTGGAGACGACATCACTTGCCGGTGGAGGGCTGCAAATTTTTGAACTATACTCGGCACTCAGAGCCATTGAGCAGTGAGGGATCTTTTTCGTTGCCAGCACCTACTGCGACACGGGACCTCGGTTTATACAATCTCATCCGAAGGACCGGCCTCCACGTCCCGCAGTGGATTTGAACCCGCGACGCAAGGATCTAATGCATACTTGAACCCGCGACGCAAGGATCTACTCCATACATCACGTCTCTAGAGCTAACGCTCTAACCACTGTGCCATGCGGGCGACTTTTGTTTTCGTAAAAATGCATTTAAAACCATACCATGGTAAATTAAGGCTGCATCCTGCAAATATTCTGACATTGCAATATTTTTTGGATAATAGGATGTAGTAATTTATTCTTGTTATTTGTATTTAGAGATTTGTTAGAACTCCTGAAAATGAATAGAAACACACAGAAAGTTCAGAAATTTTATCTGCCATATTCATTACAACTTATGTCGTCATAAGTAAGTTAGTATATATAAAAAGGCAGTTGCCTGGTGGTAACGTTAACAATGCAATGACGACACAATACTTATAGAGGAAACTATTAAATAAGTCAAAGGAACATAGCAATGTAGCTGCATACAAATGTTATACATTAAATATGAAAGTGTCTATAGTGAACTATTAAATGACGGTTTTAACAGTTCGATAAAGTATTTCTTTTTCTTGTCTTTGGCTTTGTACTACTTTGTCTGTGTAAAGATGGTAAAACAGAAAAATCAGAAAATTGTTCCCGGCCACAAATATCAAGATGTCCGCTTAGATTGTATTCTGATATACAAACTATATATATATATATATATATATATATATATATATATATATATATATATATATATATATAAAGCACATTTTACACCAACTCTTAAACTAAC